CTACTCTTTGCTCTGGATGTAAACAAGCACAGTGAACAGATAGCATCTCATAGGAGCAGGGCGGTTCGTCCGTTTTTCTCGAAAATGTAGTTACATGTCGGCTGTGTGAAGTTAAACTAGACATCGACCGAACAGACATCTGGAAGTTAACCTGCAGGGAGGACTAAAGGCAGGAGATGCTAGCTCTGCTAATGTTAGCCACACTCTGCAAACCAACTTACATTGTAAACCTGCAGAAAATTTGTAATACTTATAATAATTTTTTTTACATTTACACTAGTCAGTTAACCTGACTCTAAATCTTCATATAACTGACTGAGAAATGAGTCGCCTAGAAACATCCCTAGTTGTGTTTATTAATATCATACTCTGGGTACCATGAACATGCACAGAAAGTAGTTCCACAGTTGTAGGGTCCTTGAGCATAATGGCTCATTAAGAGGATGAATCCTATGGGACCATGAACAGTGTTTTTATGAACAGCATCAGGCTCCTCTGATAGATTTGAGGAAAGTCCTGTTTGGCTACAATCAGATTTAGTTTAAAGCTTCAGGATGTTTCCTGACATTAAACTTTTCATGGTGCATTCACTTTCTGATTGTTGATCAGGATTGTTTCTTCAGAGTCAGTCAGAGAATTTACACTCTGTTCTCATGTGATGTTATTTCTTAAAAGCGACTGCCTTCCTCTGCTGGAACTGAGGCTGGTTCTTCTTCTGGTTCCACTGACACATCAGGATGTCTCTGAAGGTCGTCCTGAATGTCTTGTTGCACAGAGCGTAGCACATGGGGTTCACTGTGCTGTTCACGTAGCACAGCCAGTATCCCAGTGCCCAGAGCGTGGTTGGGATGCAGTCCTGACAGAAGGTGTTGACGAGCACCATGATGTTGTAGGGTAACCACGTAGTGATGAAGGCGAACAGGATTGCACTCAGCGTCCGCGCTGCCTTCTTATCATTCGCCTTCTTCTCATTAGCCTTCTTGTCAGTCTTTCGCTTGTTGATCTCTGTCTTTGCCTTGGAGGCAAAACGTTTGGCAGCCGATTGGTCTGCTGGTGATGATGTCAAAGAGTTAGATTTTCCTTCTTTGATGGATTGTTTATCCTTGTTTTTTTTCTTCTTCGATTTTGAATCTGTAGACAGACAGACAGTCGGATAAATATGATGTATATTCATATATATTATAATGAAACCATTTACGAGTGTTTTTTCAGACCTGATGGTGCTCTTGTTGGGTCCTCCCCATCGCCCTCTTCCTCCTCCTCTTCCTCTTCATTGTTGTTCAGGCTGTCACAGCTGTTGTGCTCCGCCTCGCCCGCTGTGGTCGTGTTGATGGACCTCCTTGAGGTGTGTCGACCTGGCAGCAGTGATGAACACTTAAAGCAGAAGGCTGCGCACCTTCCCCCTCCTCCTGCTCCTCCTCCAGGGATGCTGTTGTTCTTTTCGGAGGTGGTCTGGTTCAGGTCATAGCTGCTGCTGCTCTGAGAGCTCATCTGTCGCTGCATGGCTGAAGAATCCTTCTGACTGTTGGTCGCTGCTTCTCCTCCTCCTCGTCCACTCCCGCCCCCCTGATTCTGAGCCTGGCCAGATTTGTTTCCTGCCCCGGATCCCTTTAGTCCTTGGAATTCTTTGGCCCGTTTCTCTGTCTCCTGAAAGATCTTCCAGAACAGGGTGGCCATGATGGTGACAGGCAGGTAGAAGGCAGCGATGGCAGTGCAGAAGGTAATGGCGGGCTCGGACAGGAATTGGATGTAGCACTCGTTGGGTTGGACAGTCCGCTCTCCTACGATGTACTGCCAGAACAAAATGGCCGGAGCCCAGAGGATGAAGGAGGTGGACCAGGCCAAGCAGATCATCGTCATGGCCCGCTTTGTGGTACGTTTGGCTCGGTAGGTCAATGGTCGGGTCACAGAGAAGTACCTGAGAGTAAGCGGAGAGGAAGAGAAAACATCAACAGGGCACAAAACAGAGCGAGACCAAAGTCTTAATAGTTTCAAGAGCAAATTTGATGTGGCTATGGTTCAACCAACTAGGAACTGTAAAGCTTAGATTAAAAACATGATTTCCTGTTGCCACTAGGTGGCATTATGACTGCATATTAAAATTAAAACGTGTTCAGGCTGACACTCCTATCATAAATAAAAGCATTGGGTCAAATTTTGAATATGTATAGTTGAGATAAAAACTACTTCTGGTTTCCTGGCAAATAACGTACCTTTGATGGCCCCCTGAGGACAAGCCCCTCGAGTTTTATTCATGAGTTTAATAACTTTTTATCAGTAAGGCTTCTTCTAGCTTTACAACAACTTTGAGGTGAATCAGATGAACGGCCTAGTAGGAGTCAACCCCTGGAAATGGTCCTAATACATAGATTTCTACTAATTTATTCAAAATGGCTTCTTTTCTGTTAGAATTGGGATATGGCTCAAATAGGCGTTTTTGCAAATCTCATCAAGCCACATATACCTACCAAATTCATACATGTAGGTGAACGTTACCACTTTCAGCTTTGAACTATGTTCCAGACCTGTAAAATATCAACATTTTCACTGTTTCTGATTAGTGTCCAAATTTCCACTAGTTTTAGGGCATTTTAAAGCAGCCAAAGCTGCCAGAACTGTTCACACGGAAATAAAAAAAGAATAGTTCAATGCTTAGGCTCTAATAAAGTTGTGCTACCTATCAAAGCTGATAACAAGCAGGTTCATGACTGAGGCATTGCTGGCCACGTAGTCGATGGCAAGCCAGAGGTCACAGACCACGGGGCCCAGAGCCCACTGGTCCATTATGATGTAGGTTGTGTACAGGTTCATGGATAGAGTCCCTATGGTCAGGTCTGCGAATGCCAGGCTGAGCAGGTAGTAATTGTTCACAGTCTTCAGGGCTTTATTGATCTTAAAGGACACCAACACCAAGATGTTTCCAACCACAGTCATCAGAGAGAGAGATCCAGTGAGGAAGACGATGATGATCACCTGAAGAGGAGGAAGAAACAGAGAGGATGGTCAACTTCTGTGAAAAACTGATTAGGGGATATCACACCTTTATTAACAGCTTATTGTCTATTTTTATCTTTTCAGTGTATGAATATGAATAAGTCTGTGCCTTCCTGATAGAAAGAACTTAAATAGTTTCACAGCAGGGCTGTTAAAGTTTGTCTTGGCGTTCAACATAGTTCTGTTCTGGTTAATTTTTGATTCACTTTTTTTTATGAATATAATTCATAGTTTCTAAACTTAGGGCATCTTCACATCCATAGATCGTTTGCTCTGGTCTGAATCATGGACCAGTTTGTTCTGTTGCATAATTACCTGAAGTTTGGTCTGTGTTGAAACGATGACATTTACAAGCAGAACAAAACGTGTGATACGTGAGGAAAATGCTTGCTGATCAGTCAAAATTCCTAGCAGTAAAAATCTTGGATGTATACAAAGAGGCAGCATCTTCACATGTTAAGAATTGCATTGACTACAAGAAACATCATTCATCGGCACAGTTGCGTGCAGCTGGCCAAGTATAAATACATCAGAAGAGGGGCGGACACCAGCCTTGGAAGAGTAAATGGAAGGTCGTAATTTGCCAAAATTGGTGTCACCCAACGGTCAGAGTGCCACCATCTTTTGGATATATCTAATTTGAAAATTTCATTCCAGAACATGAACTATGATATGTTACAAACACAGAGGGATATTTAGAATAGTGATGGCAAATTTGAATCAATCCGTGGATCTTTATGGACGTAATGTGTTTGGATTCAATCTTTTACTGTATTTGGATCGTGGGGACTCTTTTGTTGGTATATCGTGATCAAGAGAGTTCAGTAAATCTTAAATGTAAGTGAAAAGACGGTAAAAGATTGTTCTTTCTTTGTTGGTGGTCTGACAGATTCTTAAATTGTGGCTACAGGGATGGAAATCACAGGAATGATTCATATTTATGAACAGCAGTTGTGTAAATAATAATGATATTGATAATATTTATAACAGGTTTTAGATGAATAGAGAGGACCATTGCTACGTTACCTGGTTTAATATTTTAAAAAAAAAACCTTCCTGCAGTTGGGTCAGATTGAGGCTGGATCTCGTTACAACAAACGAACCAAGTCCAAAAGAAAGGGGACAGAGACAAACCGTTTCAAGCAGTCTCTCTACAGTTTGTTCCACACCAGGGTTTGATTGACAGCTTAGGTCAACATAGGTCTGAGGGAACATAGAGCTGATGGTAGAGGCTGCTGTGTAAAGAGTCCATCAGTATAGTTCTCATTCTTCCCTGGTGTTGTTTCCCTTGTGTGTTTTGTTGTTTAGTCTTGTGTTTCGTCTGTTATTTTGTAACTTGGTATCTTAGTATTTCTTTATGTTCTTGTGTGTTTTGTTACAATCTTGAGTTCTGTGTGTCTTCACTGTTTCATAATTTAGTTTGTAGTTGTCCTCAGTGGTTCTTGTATTTTATTCCTGCCTCTGTGTGTTTCCCTCCAGTGTGATTGCCCTGATTGTCCTCACCTGTGTCTTGTTAGTCTCACCTGTGTTTGATTACCCCTGTGTCTATTTAGCCTCTGTGTTTCGTCCCCTCTGTGTCAGTTCATTGTTGTATGGCAGTGTTGTTAGTTGTTGGTGTTACTTGTCAGTCTAGGTCGGTCTTCTATCAGTGTTTTCCTTGTGACTCTTGGTTTTCTGGATTTGTAGTTTAGTTTTTGAAGAAAGTAAGTTTTGTTTGCATTTTTGTTTAATAAATATAGTTTTTAGTTCTGAACTTGGGTCCTTAACTTTGATTTTTCAACTAAATGTGACACGCAGAGTCTTTAAACAGTTCTAATTGGTCAGAACAGTTAGGAACTAAAAAGGTGGACTGTCAGGTGTTATTGAACAGAAGTAAAATGACTGGATGAGGGAAATGAACTTTGTTTTTACAGATTATTTCCGTGTGGTCTTTACAGGATAATGAATTATAAATCATTACACCTGAGTGTTTGTATGAAGATACCTGCGTGATGTTTCCATTATTAATAACAACAGGAGCTTTAGAGAGTTAGATGGTGCAGCAGATATTACTTCCTGTGTTGTTTTAAAATAAATCTGGAGATTAATGGACCTAGACAGCTCTCACAGCGTTCCTCAGACTCACAGTTTATCTTGGAACCAGAACTCTGAGCTCCTAATTCAAATGAGCCGTAAAATCCCCGAAGCTTTGGAGCCTCCATGAGAGGAGAGGAGCTTAGTGTTGTCTGATGGTTATGATTCCTCGCTACTGAAGACCAGGAATTTACTGGGCCAGAATTACCCAGCATGCTCTGCTCTTGACTCATTCAACCTGCAGTGAACACCATCCTGCAGTGTGTCTAGCTCTATCAGGTGTGATTTACTGACAATTAAACAGGTCTTAAACTGTGTTTCTTAAGTGTCTGTTTATTTCTTATGCAGTATGAAATTATTAAACTAACACAATATTAAAAATAGTCTCCAGATGTTTGTTACCTGCAACACAGTGTGTCCTCCTAATGGGTCGAACTCAACCTCTGGCGTCGTTAGCGTGCTGTTAGCTGCAGAAACGTTTCCTGTTTGCAGAGAGACGTCGCTCACATTATGAAGCATCCAGCCTCCATCACTGTCTAATAACATGGACATCCCCCGATAGGACACACCTGAGAGAAACAGGTGAACACAACATCACTCAACAGGATCGACCTCAGACTCTCCTTATATATCTATTTTCCTTTGAATTATTTTATGCTTTATGTGTTCCTTTTTAATAATTTTTTTTAATAATTAAACTTGATTAAGTTGATGCTTCTGTTTAAAAAAAAAGCTTCTAATAGTAAATGGACTTGAGCTTGTATATTTATTTTTTATTCTTCTGACTACTCAAAAAGCTTTTACACCGCAAGTCACACCTACACATTCAGACACTGATGGTAGAGGCTACAGGAGCTGGAGGTCGAACCCCCAACCTTCTGGTCATGACACGACTGACTCTACCACCGACCCACAGCTGTCTTGTTGGGTTAAGTCAGGTTATGCAATGAAATGTATTCCATATTTATATGAACGTGCAGAGATCACATCAGCTGATCCGAGGCTCCTCGTACCTGGATGAGAAGCTCCTGTGAGGACGGAGTCGGAGTCTAACGTCAGATTCATGATGACAAACGATCATCTGCAAAAAGAGACGAGAAGAGTAACGTGGAGATTCAGAACAAATAAAGTTTTCTAATCTAAAGAAGGATGATGTTTCTGCTCAGATCTGTAGGAATGCTAAAAGTTTGAGTCATTGTGGACAGAGTCACAGAGAACGTGTTAGCATCATTAGCCTGACTGAGCTAAAGCAGTTACAGAGACATGATATCCAGCAGGTTCACGCTCAGTGAGGATTTATTTAATTGTATTCATATTATTTTATATCAACGTGTCCAGGTCATCATCCTGTTTAAGTCTCAACACTGATCCAGAACTTTCACCCCCCCTGTAACCATAGCAACAGATGTCTTCAAAGAGAACACACAGAGCGATAATTAATGAAACTAATGCATGAGATGAATTCAGATTATTAAACACAAATCTTTAATCAGACCATTTTTAGAGTTGTATTTATTTTAATGTAACTCACCGATCACCTCCATGAGTGTAATAAAACTGTATTATATATTATTATTATTATTATTATTATTATTATATGTTTTATTATCCTGAGGATCTCTCTGTATTTGATATAAACGCTGAGTCAGGGTGTTCAGATGAAATCTGGTTTTAAACAGAAGTATTTTTATTTTCACTGCAGCTTCAAACCTTCATCATGAAACGACTGAACAGCCTCCTGTCAATCAAACCTGTCACACCTGGATGATGAGGATGATGATGATGAAGAAGAATAAAAAGGTCAGTCTCTTTGCATTGCTGGTTCTGGCATAGATTAGCATAGCCTGTAAAGAATAGATGACATTACTAATACAGGCTGTACTAATTAAAGCCAGAACCATCAGAACGACCTGCAGAGAGAGAGCATTAAAACGGACGCAGGCGCACACACACACACACACACACACACACACACACACACACGCACACACACACATTATATTTGTATATATTAACAAATAATAATAATAAATAAAGTGGTTATTACTTTATGATTATTAAATATGATGAGTCATGTCATTTATGACGTTTGATCAAAGCAGCAAAGAGAGAGATGACCAATTAATTTGTCCGCATAATTTATACATTTATTCAGAAGTTCATAAAGTTTATAAATACATTTTATAAAGTTTATAAATAAAGTTTATAAAGTTTATAAATAAAGTTTATAATAAAGTTAATAAAGTTTATAAATAAAGTGCTCTCACCTGTCTGCGTGTTCTCAGTCTGACATGTCGCTCCGCTGTGCAGCTTCTTGCTCAGTCTGCAGACTCACACAGTTCACTCACTCTGTGCAGACTCCTCCTCTGATGATGACTCCTCCTCCTCTGACCGTTTTTACAGAGGGGGGTCAGAGAGGGGGGGTCACTTCTAGTTAATATTTCTGTTTAAAAATTCTAATAAGAACAATAGCAAACATTTCTGTCACCTCAGGGTTCAGATTCAATCATTCAGCCCTGACCCCAGAGCCAGCTCCAGTTTAACAGATAGAAACCACAAGACCAGGACATGACCAGAACACCCCCCCCCCAGAATAAACATGACCAGAAACCCTCCAGAATAAACCAGGTTAAAGAGAAACATGAGCATCCTGTGATGAATTGATGAAACAGAAAGTGAAAGAAGGACGGATGTGTGGAAGCTGTGAGTGTTTGAGTTCAGAGAGGCTCCTGTTTACATATTCTGAATTAATGTGATTCATGAACAATAGGACATAATGATTCTGCTGCTGACGCTTCAGAGCTCAGAGGAGGAAAGAAAACTACAGCTCTGTTTCTTCATCTGTAGTAATCCTCACACACACACACACACACACACACACACACACACACACACACACCCACTGACTGGTAAAGGATGCTTGATGAATTCTTGAGGAGCTCTCCTGACCAAACAAGGACATATGGTTGGTCACTCTTATATAGTGTGAAGCCAGTGGTCAGACTCTCATGACCCCAAACACACACACACACGCAAGCGCACGCACACACACGCGTGCGCGCGCACACACACGCACACACACAGGAGTGTCCAATAAGGACATTAGTTGGATATCAGTTTGATTTTTAACCTGAGAAAAGAATGGAGTTGAGGTGTTTAAATTAAAACACGTCTGATCTCTCTGACAACACAGGATACGACACGAGGTCATTAAGTTCACGTTGCGAAGTGTGACACAGAAACACACACAGAGTTAAAGACAGAGATCTTGGTTATTGACGCTCCGTCCAGACTTTAAGTTGTTTTTTATTTTGTCATTTCCTGTTTTATTTTGTTACTCACCATTGTCTCTGTCTTCTAGATCCTGCTCCTTGTGTTTCCCACCTTGCGTGTCAGCTGACTGAACTCACCTGCGTCTTCTTATCCTCTCATTGTTTGCATATTTAACCGTTGTGCGTCCTCCTTCATGTTTATGCCAGTTCGTTGTGTATTCTTTGGTGTACCTCGTCTGAGTATTTTCCAAGTGAGTTTATCTTGTGTTTCCCTTTTGTGTGTTTTTTAACCCTGCCTTTTGTCTGCTCCTTTGGGTTTGTTTACCTGTGATTTTGACTGACAGCGTATAGAACCTGACTGTTTAATAATCCTGCCTGATTGTACTCTGCCCGGGGACTCTTGCTTGTGTCTTTGTGTCAGTTTGTAATCTTTACTTTCAGCAGGTACAGGAACAAACAGGCAGGTAATAACAGTTCAGTTCAGTTTACAGGCTTAAACAGGGGGGGGGGGGGGGGGTAGTCTGACAGAAAGCAGAAACGTTAAGACATAACTCTGGATCCGGGACAGAAGATTTCTAAGATTATGATGAGCCACGTCAGCAGAGGTGAGCAGGGAATCAGTCCAGGTGAGAGTGTTGGAGAGTGCTACATTGAGATGACAGGAACAATCTGGCACTGAGTGAGTGAGCAGATTACAAGTGAGCCAACGAGGTGGGAACGTGGAAAATTACTGAGATGGTGGCAGGTCAGCAGAGGAACAGAACTCAGAGGGCTGCTGCGGGGGAGCTTTCCCTGATGAATGACAGGATCACTTCTTTTTAACTACAAGTTTCAGTGATGAAGGCTCTGACTGTGGTTTGTACCTTTGCACCAAAAAGCAGGTGGAGTATTAATTTGTCATTGGACTTCTGTGCTAGTCATGGATTGGACAAAACAAACACCATGTTCAAGCATAGGGTGGTTCATAAGGGTACCTTAAACCAAAAAACATCAAACCATCTGATTTGTTTCGTATGTCTTGGACAACTGGGGGTGAAGAGTTGAACTGAGCTGTCTGGCGGAGACCACAAAATATTCAACTCCTTCCTTCAGAAAAATTTCTTGAGCATCCCGGGAAAGGTTGGGGACATTGTGTCTGAGTGGTCCCAGTTCAAAGTCACCACTGCCGGTCATGACAGTAACCTAAACTTGCTGATGAACACCAGCTGGGTAAGCTCAGGGGTCTCTGAAACCTGCAGACAGGTAACAAGTGGCGCATGGGATGTGGCTTCAGTGGTTGCAGAGGAAAAAGGTTTGGTGTGGGAGGAGTTTGGGAAGGCTATGTAGACGGACTTTAGGTTGGCCTCAAAGAAGTTCTAGAAAAGTGTGGGAGAACTCAGGAGGGAAAAGCAGGGCTTGGCTCAGGCTGTTCTCAGCAGGATGAAAATCTACTGATCATGACTGGGGATGTTGCCAGACGGCACACTTTAAGGCAGGGATGGGCAACTGGCGGCCCGGGGGCCACATGCGGCCCTCGTCAACCCTCAATGTGGCCCTCAGGTCAATTTTTATATATCAAAACTTGAAGAAAACATGACAAAATCTGCCATGAAATCATGAAAACCAGAAATATTTCCATAATAATATTTGATCACTGGTATATGTTGAGTTAAATTTGAGACATTATTGACTGTTATCGTTTTTGTATTCTACAATTTGGCCCCCTGGCAGTCAGAATTAAATGAATGTGGCCCTTGCTGTGACCAAAGTTGCCCATCCCTGCTTTAAGTGACTCACAAAGCCAACCAACAACATCTTCTTATGAAGAGGGCAGAGTTTAAAGATCCAGTGGAAAACTCATCTACATCCTTGGCAGAAGTCGTCAAAAAGCGCCTCAGCTGCAGGTACCATGTGTAGATGACATTATACCTGAGATGCTGAAGGCTTTGGACATTGTTGGGCATCTTGGCTGACTCACCTCTCAGTGGAGGTCTGGGACAATTCCTACAGAGTTGCAACCCGGAGTGGTGGTGTGCTCCGAACTAAAGGGTTATCACACTGCTCAGCCTCATTCCTGCCTATCGGTAAACCTTGGATACAGGAGGTAACATGCTAATTCTGTCCTGGCTGTGGCACAGTGGACCAGCTCTTTACCCTCACAGGTCATATCCCTCGCACGGTACTGTGGGGGGTACTGTGGGAATATGGGGTCCAGGGACAGTTGCTGCGAGCAACTTGTTCCCATTATGACCTGAGAGCTATGTCCAAATCTTCAGCACAGTCAGACACGTTCCCTGTGCGTGTTGGCCTCAACTAGGGTTGCCCCTTGTCAGATTCTGTTTGTGATCTTCATGGACAGGATTTCAAGGCACAGTCGGGGTGAGGAGGGTTTCTGGTTTGGGGGCTTCAGAATCATATCTCTGCTTTTTTCCGATGATATCGTTCTGTTGGCTCATTCAGGCTGGAACCTCTAGCAGGCACTGGGGCAGTTTAGAGCCGAGTGTGAAGCGGTCAGGATGAGGCTCAGATCCTCCAAGTCTAAGAACACGCTTCTCTGCATGAGAGACCCCAGGGTAGACCCAGAGCTCACTGAAGAAATCATATATCCACTTTGTTATGGGAACACCTTGCATACCAACAGGAAGAGTTGGAAACCGTTGCCCAGGAGAGCGACACCTGGGCTAACTTGTTGAACCTGCTGCCACCACATCCTGCCCCCAGATGAGAGGAAGAAAATGACTGGATGACCTGGAACTAACAAAGTGACACCAGCAGTAACTCAGAGCTAGAAAACAAGGCCAGTAGAGACTAAGGCCTTAATGATACAGTCAGGTCAATAAATTAACAAGGCAACCTGAAAAATGAAACAGCAAAAAAAAAGAAAGAAACTTATAAGTCAACAATTAAAGTAACTAGAAACAATGAATAAGTCCATCTAACGTCAGGATCAGCTTTGACAAAAACACAGTTATCAGCAGACATGGACCGACGATGATAACAATCAACAGGTTGTGTGTTTCATCAAAGTGAATTCAGTTCTTAACTCATCAGGGATGGAGTAATGCAGATTCATCTGGGCTCAAGTATCTTTTGAAATGATCAAAAATTGCAGTAATACTTTTATTGATATTGCTGCAGATGTGTGCGTTAATGAAGTTCTGTTTGAGGCTGAAGGAGAAGCTATCGACCTGTGACCTTCACTCCTGCAGGTAATAAGAAATCACCTGGAGTCCACCATGGAGCCTGAGCAGTATGTATGTGAGCAACAGATCACAGGAGAGGATTGGATTTGGAAGGAAGTATAGCTTTAGAATGAATTGTTGTGACAAGTTGTTTAAGAAGTTATAGTGATGTAGTGGTTTGTATCCTGCACACTAAGAATGTTCATTGTAAGTGCAGCAGCAGGAGTTATTGTTGTAAAAGACAAATATGTGGTTTTGCTGAACCGGAGAGCGGGACAGATTGAACTCTGTTGAGCTTCATTGAACCTGGGTAGAAACAGAGCTGCTCTGATGTCCATGCTTGGTGCTCGACTGTCTCGCATTAACCGCTCTGTGTGTGTTTTGGCTCTCAGTCTGGTTTCATAATAAACGCTCCACATTTTCCATTAATCAGCCACTCGGACAACTGTTTACTGTAATGTCACTCTGCACTGCATGGACCTTCATCACACACATATGAACGTCTCCGCTTTTCAACCGAGCTGAACACAGACACAGGAAGTGGTGTGAGGACACATTGTGTTCATGTGATTAATAGAAAACTGTGCATTACATCAAATTGTGATTTTATCATGTCCATGCGATTAATCAGTTTTATAGTAATCACATTATATACCTTTCTGATGTGACTTTCTATAAACACAGGCCTTTATTTGCGCTGCAGAATAGATGACGACTGTTATGTGGTTAAACACACGTCTGTACTTCCCGTTAATTTTCACATTTTATTTCTTATTAAATAAAACTGCAGCAGACATCGTTCTTTCGCGGACAGAGGAGTATATTAACAGAGCACTGAAAATCATAAACATGAGGAAAGAAGAGTCCTGTTTTCACAAGTTTATAAATAAAGTTTTATTTTGAAAATCATGCAGATCCATTCATGAGTTAAAGACTTTTAGAGTGAAGCTGAGAAACAGCAGACGTGGTCTCTGCGCTCACACGTGCACGTCCGTCATACAGCTTCATGTTTCTGCACACGCTGATCTTATTGTTATTCAGTCTGATGGTGAAACTGAGGAAATGAAATATGCATGACGTCATCATGGTTTAATGGGCTTTATAATACACACTCACCTGTACACTCAGTGCTAATGCTAACCGCTCATGCAGCCTCACTCAACATTAAAGGTGCTCTTTAGCAGCCCCTGGAGGACACAAACAAAACTACAACATCATCGCATGTCTGATTCAACATCCTCTGAAATTATATTTTTATCTTTTCATGAAGTCTGAGACAAACAGCTGAGATTAAAGGTTTCACATTTTATTAGCAGCAGATTCTAGTTTAGCTAGCTTAGCTAGCATAGATGCTAACTACAACTACAACTTTTTAAGCTGTTCATAAAGAATCAAAATGTCCTCTCCACAGACGGTGTGGGCCTGTTCTGCGATTGGCTAAAGTTACAATTGCATAATTGGAAAGCGATTTAAATTGAAATATTTAAATCAGCTGTTGAAGTGTGACGATGTTCAGGCAAACGTTGATGTTTGTGTCGTTTTGTTTAAAGAGCCACAATAATAATATTCAGTTTTATATGTTTCCTTATATTTACAGCATATTCAACTTATTCCATTAAAGTACAGATAAGATTAATAAATCATTATAATGTGAGACAAAGGAAAGCTTGAAGTGTTTATATTTGACACTTCATCTATTGCTGATGTTTCATCAAATAAATCTTAAAGAGTGATTCTTAAACAGATGTTTCCACATGTTCCACACATTCATCTGAAAAACTCCGACTCGTTGTTCATTCACAGTCTTTGAGATATTTAAACATGCGATGACGTTATTCTGAACATGTCTGTACATAAAGTGGATCTCTGACGTGTTGCATAAAATCATCTCAAAATAACCAAAACATTCAAAACTATCTGAGCTCTGAACCAATCATCACACAGCTCCTGTCGCCGAGGAAACAGAACATATCAAATAATAGCATTTAAAGAAATAATAAAACCACGATAATAAAGATTATTTTGTTCCTCAAACATCAGAAAATCTTTCAAACCTTCAGACTGAACGAGTTTAATGAGCCTGTGTGTGTGTGTGTGTGTGTGTGTGTGTGTGTGTGTGTGTGTGTAACAGAGAGTGTGTGTGAGTGTGTATGTGTAGCCCTCTCTCTCTCTCTGCACTGAGCTGTCCCGCCACCCCCACCCCACTTTCTTCATAAGGCACTGTTTCCTCTTCCCCCCCTCCCCTCTTATCTAGGCTAACAGGCTAATGCTAATGCAAACTGTGAAAAATGAGTGTTTTTGCTGCTTTGGTATTGCTTTTTGCTTTTCATTTAACAAAACCATTGAAAAACAAATGTACCTGGAGCTGTGATTGAGCAGCAATAATTACATAAGATTATCTCGAGTGACACCTAGAGGCTGTGATGTGAACTGCAGGGCAGAACATACATGCTGGATAAGGAGCTATCCTTAGAACTCAAAGAAATGGGATATAAAATGTTTAATGACATTTGTCTGGATGAAGTTCAGTCCTGATCTCAGAGTTTCGTGTTAAAACCGTTAATTAAACTGAGTTGGTGGTAACTGCGCTGCCGTATTTCTAAGAGATGTGACACTCAAACTTTCCAGTGATCAAGAAAACACTTCCACCTCTGTATGCATTCAAAATAAAAGCTCTGTAAATAAAGTCTGTAAATATGACTCTGATATGAACCAGGGGTTAAATCAGTCCGGGGCTGTCAGCGGCTCGACATCTCTGGAGCCGTTACCATGACAAAGATGAGAACATTGTTGTTGTTGTCTTTGAATCGTCCTTCCTCGCTCCATTCAGGGTGGAAGCTTTGTTTCAAGATTTGATTGGAGTTTCACCGTTTCAGAGTGTCCTCTTGATAAAGTGGCAAAAGTTTCTCATCTTCTTTATGTGGACAGAACTGACCTCCGTCAGCGTGAGAGTGCAGATCCGTCAGCCTGACAGTGCAGCTCCGTCAGTTTGAGAGTGCAGCTCTGTGCAGAGTAAAGCTGCAGATAGCTTCTCTCCACATTCACACACTAAACAAGAGCTAACTGTGTTTGTTTCTGAATATAATCAGAACTATATGCTTTGAGAGTTAGACTCAGAGACTGAGCAGAGGGAGGGAGAACATGAACGATTTATGGATATATAAGAGACTGTAATCATTCTTAGTGAATCAGACCCTCATTGTGCAGATTCAAAGGTGGAACAGAATCCAGCCAAATCCAATCTCAGAATGAATCACAGGTCACCTGATGATGATTTATCTCTAACTAAAGAGATATGTGGAGGTAAATATAGCTAACAGACTGCTCTGAGATGTTGTGTCTCATCTCCAGCGCCATTCTTTATCTCTGACTGACGGATACACAGGAAGCCCTTAGAGTGGCTCCCACAGGATAAACCATGCTCAGAGGATTACTGATGTGTTCAGAGACTGCTGTCAGTCTGAGTAGCCGTCAGGAACACAAGAGTCATCAGCGAGATCAGATACAGATTCTACTTTGAGGAACTTCTGTTGATTTTTCAACAAAAAAAAAGATGCAGTAGAGTGAGGACTCGTTGACTTGTTGTTGTCCACACATAGCAGAGTTGCTAGTTCCCTCAGCTCCTCTGAAACTGAACAGACAGTCGATTGTGTAGCTAGCTTTGTGTGTTCAGGAGCCCTTCACACACAGTGATTGTGTGTGTGTGTGTGTGTGTGTGTGTGTGTGTGTGTGTGTGTGTGTGTGTGTGTGTGTGTGTGTGTCTGTGTGTGTGTGTGTGTGTGTGTGTGTGTGTGTGCAGAGTGTGGACACAACATGAACATCTGTGAACTCTTTAAGGTCTGACTGAGCTCTGAGATCATCTGTGCTGCACAGCTGGATTATTCTGGTTACCTTCACCTGATCAGCAGCTGAACAGGCCTCACAGCTTCACCCAGATCAGTGCTGCTGGATCTCAGCAGGTTGTTCACATGTTGTTCAGCTGTTGTTGTCCACAATCTGCAGCGACATGCAGCGTGCAATGAAAACATGAAAAATTGTAAACATTGTCATAAAAATATCTGCTTGTTATGAATCCATCACATCCTCCAGTCTTCAGGAAGATCTAGTCTCTCTCTGTCTCTCTCTCTCTCTCTCTCTCTCTCTCTCTCTCCGTGGTTCGTCTGTCTGTTTGTTTGTTTTTTTGCTTGTTTCTGTGAACGTGGAGTACGATGAAGCCTTGACGCACCTCCAGATTATCCTGTACAGCATATATTCTGATCTATGTACAGAGTCTGCAAAGCATTCCTATCAGGGTGTGATGAGGAGGAGGATGAAGGCT